TATTTTGTGTCGACTCATAAAAAGAAGACGGTCGGTGAAATGAGGATTTTTCTTCACCCTGCCGACGCTCGATTTCTTTCACTGACATCTTACAGGAAATATGATGGATATTCTTGTCTTTTTATCGTGTTCTCACAAAGTGAGAGAAACGTGAAAGAAAGAGACGGTATTTTGATCTACGACGCGTCGTAAGCCCACGGTAACTACATGCTCGCGAACCGCGAGAAAATTTATAGGCAATATAGAACGAGAGAATACGAATGCTACAATTCTCGGCGAGCCGAGTGGAACGAGAAGCGAAAGCTGGGAGTCCATCTCTGAAAGCCACGCTTCCTAGATTTCCCGACATTTTCTCATGTGGCACTTCACGATGGGTCTGCGTTTTCGTATCGGATTCCGACTTTCGGCTTGCTGTGAAATCGCGCGTCGTTGGGGAACGCGTTACCGTGATTTGATAATCCTGCGACGCATCCGTGGTGTCGATCTTGCGAGAGAAGCGAAGCCAAGTGTGGGTCCCGTTCTCCGCCCCGCTGATCAATTGGTAATTCTGCTGCTTGTCCACGACAGGAAGGGTGTTCGAAGCGGAATAACGATCCTGTCGGAAAAGAATAAAAATCATGGGGTACGGCGAAATAAAGGATGTATTTCCGGCGCTCCAATTGTTTTCCTTCCCGGAATAGGAAGGAAAATAGACAGGATGCGACGTTCGTGGTCCATTTAGGTACTGGGATGCTCATCGATGAATCGAGGAGCTTCCCGGAAAAGGGGCATAATTACCCATACGCCCTTTTTTCCGCATTCCTGTTCGTGCATTCCTTTTGGCTACCTGCGACGGCACGGACAAACAATAAAGGTATTCCAGGTGTGTATGCATCAAAGGACAAACGATCCGGTTCGACCAAATTCGATTCTGTGAAACCCGAGGAGATTTTCCGACTCATCTCAAATCCTATCTTTCGCACTCCAACTATCTTTTCCGGAGAACTACTCCGCGAATAATTGTTTTTTTTTTAATTCGTCATTCTTCCAGCCTTTCGATCGACTATAGGAAGAGGAATGACGCCACCTGAAATGGAGAGTATCGAGAATCTTGTATCCATTTTCGGCGGAAGAATTCGTCCCGAGCCCGATCGACCTCGATGGGGCACCAGGCGGCGACAGAAACTCAGACACGACCGCCGAAGAATTGCAATATGCCACAAAGGAGAGGGTAACTTGGGGGAATATGGCCCTAACAGACCGAAGAATTAGTTTGAGCGAATTTTTAAAATAGTTCTATCGAAGAGTATTGTCGAAATGTCTACACCTGTTCGTCGATCCGATGCTTGCAGGGATTCGAGATACGTCGATGTATCGAAAGCCATATGCATACGATTGTTCGACTCGTGACCCAGAAACTAATATGAACCTTGAGCAACTTGAGGGGATATTTCCTAATGACGGCATGGATACAAAAACCATTTGTTCGTAGTTATTCTATGGTCCCTCCAGAATGCTTGCAAAAAGTGCTAGCCCCTTCACTTGCGGTTTGCGGGCAGTCTTCTCAGTTTTGCCACGCGAATCGATATGGCCATTTCGATGTGGCCATTTCGATTAGGTATAATTTGGACACATCCTTGGTTTCGTGGTAGTACCGCACCGACTCGTCGGCAGGGTCAGCTTCCTTTCGTGTGGGACTTCAGGCAACAAAAGATTATCCAACGCGCATCCTCTGGTAACACGGATGGACGGGTAACATGGTAACATGGTAACATGGATGGTCCGGTACGGACGCCTGGACGGGATATGCAAGGCACGAGGAGGCGGTGCACGAGGATGTCCCCGAGCACCGCCTGATGGACATCCGCTTCATGCGCTCCAGAAATTTTCGTAGCCCAAGATTTCAATGCTGCCAGATATCCTTCGGTCGAACAGTTAAAATATCATCTTGTGATTTTTTAAGTACTACATTCGTGCAACGTTTTCCCCGCTAAGTACGACCTCTTAGTTCACACTCGTATTGCATTTTCACTTTGATCTATGGTCGCTCCTCTTACGCCCAAAGTCTCCAAATACAGTCTCACTATCAAGTGCAATACTTCTCGAAGCCAAAATCATTGCAATCCTGCTTTTCACAAGAAGCTCCTCGAGCCAGGTAATGATGTCGACTTCTTGCTCGTTCCTCCGTGCGGTTGATGTGTTTATTTTTCAACTGCTGAGTCTCCGTCGTGTTTCAAGGTCCTCAGCACGTTCGAGCATATTTCACGTACCTCATAAATCTCGAGTTGTTTTTTGAGAAGTGGCCATGCTCCCACGACAATAGGGGTTATATGGCCTCTTGGGTCCAATTTGGAAAGGATTCAAAGACGCAATATCCTTGTGTGCTTGCATTTGCCTTGCTGGGATTTAGTCAAGGAGATATCGATCAATATCTTACAAACATTGTAAAAGTCGAATTCGACCTTGATGGCCGTAAAGATCGGATTTCATTTTTGAGAGCCACATTCCCCCCAAAATTACCCTATCCGTACGGAAGGGGGGATGCTTCATCACAGGATCTTCGTTCGAAAAATCAAACGAAAGATGAAATCCAGCGTGGGAAAATATGATAATGCAGATTTATGAGGTACAACTATGCAATCGGGTCGAATCGGCCAACAAACAATTGCAGCATGGTCCATTGCACTCTCGCTCGTCGATTAGCCTGGAATCCGTACAAAATAGGCACATGCAAGTAGGCCTACATGGGAGAAGGGAGACTCACGTTAAAATAGGGAGATCCGTTCCTGACTCCTCCGATGACCATGTCGGCCCCATTCATTTCGCCGTTGGGGGAGAAACCCATTCCGATCCATCCCGTGCTTGGAGCAACGAAGAAGAACTCGATGTCTCCACTCCCAGTCTTCGGGGTCCAATCCAGCCTCACTTGTCCGTTCATTCCCAATGCCTCCGTTCTGG